CTGCCAGCAAGAAGCGGGTCTGAGCCTCCAGCCCCTGGTCCCTTCTCCCCTACTTGTCCTCCCAGCTCACCCAATGACTGGCTTCAGGAAAGGAGCCCAGGGGGGCACACAGACAGTGCTGGTCCTCGGGGCCCAGTGCCCACCACACTGCCCGGCCTCCGCCATGCCCCCTGGCAGGGCCCTCGAGGCCCCCCAGACAGCCCAGATGGATCTCCCCTCACCCCGGTGCCTGCCCAGATGCCCTGGCTTATGGCCAGCCCAGAACCACCTCAGAGCTCACCCACCCCTGCCTTCCCCCTGGCTGCAACTTATGACACCAGTGGCCCTTCACAGCCCCCACTTCCTGAGAAACGCCACTTGTCAGGGCCCGGGCAGCAGCCAGGGTCCTGGGGGCCAGACCGAACCTCACCACCAGCCAGAGGCACCACTCACCACGTCACCTTTGCACCTCTGCTCCCGGACAGTGCCCCCCATAGCCTAGGTATAAAGGCCTGGTGAGAGTGGGAGCACTTTGGGAGAACCCTTTTTCCCAGGGAGGGACAAGGCATGGGGACGTTGCTGCCTTGGGTCTGACCTCAGTTCCTTTCTGTCCCAGAATCCTCTACAGAGAGCCAAAGCAATGTCAAGTTTGTCCAGGACACATCCAAGTTCTGGTATAAACCACACCTCTCCCGGGACCAAGGTGAGGATCCAGAAAACCCCCTTCCTTCCCCACTCTCCTAGCTTTGTGGAGTTGTTGCCCTGCCTGCTTCTGGTGAGTTTAGCTTTGGTGCGCCTCACCTCAGCAGGTGGGACTGAGTTTGGGGCCTAAGGAGGTTACACTGAAAACAAAGCCCCTGTTAAATGCTCCAGTCTGTCCAGCACTCCCACCACCACAGCTGTTGGGGTAAGAGACACCTGGAGAGCTTGGTTGGGATGGGCCTCATTCAGTCACTGTGAAAATGTCTCCTCCTCTCTACCCTCAGCTATCTCCCTACTAAAGGACAAGGAGCCTGGGGCCTTCCTGATCAGAGACAGCCATTCATTCCAAGGCGCTTATGGACTGGCCCTCAAGGTGGCTACACCTCCACCCAGTGCACAGCCCTGGAAAGGTACAGAAAGCCCCAAAGCCTGAAGGACAAGGGTATGGAACTGTGGGGGGGAGGGGGCGTAAAAGAAGGGGGGACATGGGATCCCACGGTGGGAGGAGGTAGGAAATGGCCTCTAGCTCTGCAAAGAATCCTGTTAGTGGACAAAGTAAAGAATCCATAAAGCCTTATTTTCTCCTCCCTCCTCTCAGGGGACCCATTGGAGCAGCTGGTCCGCCATTTCCTTATTGAGACTGGACCTAAAGGGGTGAAGATAAAGGGCTGTCCCAGTGAACCCCACTTCGGTGAGAAGGGATGGTTTCCAGAAAGGCTAAGGAATCTGTGGAGGAGGGGCCGGAAAGCTGGGGCACTATGGACATATCAGAACCTTGCTCACTTCCTCCCCGGCAGGCAGCCTGTCAGCCCTGGTCTCCCAGCACTCCATCTCCCCCATCTCCCTGCCCTGCTGTCTGCGCATTCCCAGTAAAGGTGGGTCCACTCCAGCCAAAGGCACTCCAGAGCTTCTGGAGCCCAGGCTTCCCTGGGGATGGCAGAGAAAGTGCTTCCTTCTGACCTTCCCTGATTGGCCCTCACTTCCCCCAGATCCTCTGGAAGAGACCCCTGAGATTCCAGTGCCTACCAACATGAGCACGGCAGCAGACCTCCTACGTCAGGGTGCCGGTAGAGAACACCCCTCCATCTCTCCCTCCCTTCCTTCTTCACTTGGGCATCAAGGCAGGCATTGCAGGTCCAGGACATGGGGCAGTGAAAGGTGGGGGGGGTGCCCTGAAGGATGCATTTGACCTGTGAAGGCAGAGGCACCCCTGTGTGTAGGGGATGGTGAATGGGAGCCTCAGGCCTCTCTCCAGTTTCTGACTGGAGAGCTGCTGAAGTCATGGACCATTCCTTTTTCCCATGAATCACTTTATGATTCTTTTGCACTCCAAGCAAGACTAGCCCTGCTCAGAGGAGTCCTGGGGTGGCACTGTAGGATAAGCATTAGGCTGCTAACCTCAAGGTTGGCAATTCAAACCCACCAGCCACTCCTCAGAAACCCTACACAGGATGGCTATGAGTCAGAATGGCATTTAACAAGCTGGAGAAAGTGCAAGAAATGGTGGACTTGGGAAGTAGAGGGAGATAGGAATCTGCCTCCCCCTCCAACCCACTTCCTGCCCCTGCAGCCTGCAGTGTGCTGTACCTGACGTCAGTGGAGACCGAGTCACTGACCGGCCCCCAGGCTGTGGCCCGGGCCAGCGCTGCAGCCCTGAGCTGCAACCCCCGCCCTACACCAGCTGTTGTCCACTTCAAGGTCTCGGCCCAGGGCATTACGCTGACAGACAACCAAAGGAAGTGAGTCAGTGGGCCAGGCCCATGGAGCCTGAAGCTTCGGTTGAGGGCCCTGATGTCCAAGTGTGACCTCCTCTACCCTCCTCCTTGCAGGCTCTTCTTTCGCCGTCACTATCCAGTGAGCAGCATCACCTTCTCCAGCACTGACCCTCAGGAGCGGAGGTGACTCCCCTCCAAGCCCTTTACTCTCACAGCCCCTAGAGTCCCATCAGGCCCCACAGCCCAGTGTCCCCAGCCCCAGGTCTTCCTTGCAGTGGTTCCCAGGTACACTCCTTCACAGTTTCTCTCCTTTTGCAGATGGACCAACCCAGATGGGACCACCTCCAAGTAAGGCCCCTCACGAGTCCAATCTCTTCCCTCCCAGGGATCCAGATCCCTGTCCACCCCACACCCCAACCCTGGCATCTGAAACTCCTCCTGAGAGCCCACCGAAACCCAGCTGCACCGAATCCCCTCCCCACCCTGATTCTTGGTCCCCCTAGGATCTTTGGTTTTGTGGCCAAGAAGCCAGGGAGCCCCTGGGAGAACGTGTGTCACCTCTTCGCGGAGCTTGACCCAGATCAACCTGCAGGCGCCATTGTTACTTTTATCACCAAAGTCCTACTGGGCCAGAGAAAGTGAAAGCCACAAGCTCCAAGAGCCCACATCAGCACTGCGTCCCTTCCCAGCACCCCACAACCCTCACTTCCTCCTGAATCCCCAGGAATCCTAGCAGCCAGCTCTCTCCCTTAGGAGTGGGGAGTGGGCATCTGCCTGGCACACTGCTCTCCTTCCCGACCCCAGCCTGCTAAGCTAAGTGGACGGGCCCAGGAGATGACCTTGCACGTGAGCAGATGGCAGAGGTGGGCGTGGGAAGGTGAGGAAGCATCAGAAGCTGAGCCCTGGCGGGGATCAGAACAATCCCAGCTGTGCAAGCACATCAGCCTTGGAGGGGAAACAGGCCCTGCCAGCTCCACCCAGCTGCAGGTCCCAGCATGGCCAGGAGAGGGGAGCCCGGTGGGAGCAAATCACTCCCTTCTCAGCCTCCCCCTCTGAGCAGAGAGACCAGAGTGGGATCACATGAAGAGGGGGGAAAGAGTCTATTTTTGTCTAATAATAAATAATTTCTCTACATTTTAGTGAGAGGTGTTCTCAGCAAGGTCACAGACTCACATGTCCTGAGGGCACACCTGTGCTTATCCAGAATACCCCAGGTCCCAGGCCCATAGCCAGTCCAACAGAACACACACGATCCCCATCCTGGTCTCCCATTTGTCCACATCTGCCACTGGGCAAGCTGCCCTTGCTGCCCCTACCCTCCAGCCCCGTCCCTCACCCTATGTCCTGGAAAGGAGTCCCCTGTCACGACAGTTCTGATAAATACGGAAACTCCATCTTTATTGGCTGTATAAACATCTCTGGTCTGTACATACATTTCATACATCATAGTGCAGGGCCGGAAGGGAGGGCCGAGGGGAGGCCCCCAGCAGCAAGACAGCTCATCCCCCTTGCCCCAAAACCCAACCCACTCTGTGCAAACCAAGCCTACAGCCCCTGCTCCCTCTTCCTCCCAGGGGAAGTCACTGTATGGGGAGGGGCCAGGGGTCAAGGATGCAGGAAGAAATACAAGGGTACATGTTAGAACCAAACACTGAAGCCAAACAGGCAACTGGTACAAGCAGCAAGCTGGGGCACAGGGTGGGGGTGGGGGTGGGACTAGGGACCAAGCTGTCCCTCTGGATTCACTTGGCTACAGCTTTGGGGTCTTGCGTTCACCATGGCAGGAGAAACATGTCCAGGAAGCTAGGGACAAGGGTGTCACAGGTGAGCAGAGGATCAGGATGGGAGACAGGAGCAAAGGCCCTGGTGTCTCCCCACCCCCACAGACCCTCTGTTTTAACATGTAATGGGAACCAACCTGTATGTACAATGGAGATAGTGGGGGGAGGGGAAGACACACAGCTTTCTGAGTGGGACTAGGGTGTCTGAGCAGGTAGCAGGGAGAAAGCCAGCTCAGGGAAAGAATGGAGACCCTAGAGGAGTCTTCTGGGGACAGCAGCCAGTGAAAAGGAGAGAGGTGAGTCCAAAAGAGCCCTCCCTAGCCCAGCCAGGGGGAATGACAGCAGCAACTGGTTCACACAATGAAGTTTAAAAAAAAGGATTCACATGGAGAAACTTAAAAACAAAAGGAGAGGGAAAAATACTGTGGTCAGTATGGGTGGGATGGTGTTTCTAACCCCGGGCCTTTGCAAAGCCTCATGCCCAAATAGCAGCTGAAACGGGCGTGTTTACTCCTCTACTCACATGGAGCCAGTGAGGACCGGGCCTGGTGCCGACTGGCCCAGCGATGTATCAGTACATTCTTTGGGTCTGTTCCTGTCCAACTAGGAGTCAGGCCCAGGGACTGATGACAACAGAGACAGCACCAGGTCAGAGATGCTGGGCACAGAGGAGCTTGGCGGGGGCCTAACCTGGCAGTAGGCAGAGTGCTTATGCACCCCGTGGGGCTACTGGATAAGCAAATCCTTGGGCATGTCAGCAACTGAGTACCTGGTCCTGTCAAAGGTGAGAGGAGGAAAAGGGGCAGGTCCAGGGGAGAAGCCCCTAGCCACTCAAGGGGTGCAGATCGACTTTGACTTTCTCCCCACAGCTCAGCATTCCAATGGTGGGGAAGAAACCCCCGGAAGGTACAACAGCATCTTTCTTCCCAATGATCTTGCCATTCCGGGTGAAGAAAACCTGGAGGTGGGAATGGGGAGAAGCATAGAGCCGGCTGGCCTCTTCTCTTGAGGATCCTTAAACTCCACAGGCCCCAACAACTCCCAACTCTCATTAAGGATTTGAAGAGCGACTTAGGGTGATTCACGGAGTGACCACAAGAGGGTGTCCTGGGGCTGGAAAACAGCTTCTTCCCAACCAGTCTCTCCATCACAGCACCTCCTGAACAGGCCTCTACACTGCACCAGACCTGCCCTTCTTTCAGACCTCAGCTCAGGTTTCTATTCCCCACTGATGCCCAGCCCTCAGCCAAGCCCAAGACCCCCTGTTCCATCCCAAACTCTTCCCCACTCACCACCACCTTCTTGCCCTCATGCTCCTGCTCCATCTCTTCCCCATCTTCTTCCTCTTCCTCCTCTTCCTCTTCTCCCTCTTGATGTAAGTACATGACATTCCGAACGTTCCGGACAGCCCGAGCCGTTGGGGACAGGATCACCGTGTCACAACTGTCATCACTGTCACCTAGGAGACCAGGAACCCTGAGCTCCTGTGGCACTCCCTCACCCAGTACCCCCTGCCCTACCCCCACTCCACTCACCCTCACTGTCCAGAATGTAGTCTCGGGGGAACATGATTCCACAGCCCATAATGTCCCCTTTGTAACAACGGGGCCCAAAGGGGTCCCCGACACCACTGCCGTGGAAGATCTTGCCGTCATCTGTTGGGTGGAGGGAGAGGACATACACTTTCACCCTACATTCCCAAGAGTGGCCCTTACTGGAAGGTGAACACTCCCCACGTCCCTCTGGGGCCCAGAGATGAGGAGAGGACAAGCTGAACCAAAATGGAGAGACAGGAGTGGAAAGAGGGCACCAGATTAAAGATAGAGCCACAAAGTCTGTCAGTTTAAGAGGCTGAGGGGAAATGTCCTCAGGGGACTGGTCTGAAGGCAGGGAGACACAGTGAGCATGCAGGGGAGAGAGAGGAGAGGGACCAAGAACTGGAGGCTGGATCCTTTTCTAAAGAAAGCCCTACAGGAAATCATGCAAACCAAAAGCAGAAACCGAAGATTCTGCAGGATCTGCAGGAAGGACGCCGAGGGAGCCACCTCAGAGCCCTGGAATGTCCAGTGTGTGCCCAGGTCTCCCGCCCTGTGCTGCACCCCTGCCTTTCAGGGTTGGGAGGAAAAACACAGGAGAGGAGAAATCAATAGTGGCTGGGCCAGGAGCAAGTCTCTCTTGCCAGATGCTGGAGGGGGGCAGCCAGAGGTGGGGATCAGGAAAATGGATGGCTTTATGCTTCCACCACCCCCACGAGTCAGCTTCCCTAATGCAGCCTTCGAGGGAAAGAAGCCCTCTGCTTACCAGCATGATAGGCCACGGACCCTCTGCTCCACCCAGGATGCCTGTTCTTGGGATAATCCTGCACCAAGAAGGAAAAAGGAAAATCTATACTAACAAACACAAAAAGAGAACATAAGCACCTGAATCCCCGGTCCTGTGGAACAGACCAGGTCAGGAATGTGGTTCACCTCACCCTGGCAGCCATGTGGGCTTGCAAGGAAAATGAGAAGGGCACCTAGCTTCCAGAGCCAGGGCACAGGCTGTCCCCAACCCCTTAGCTAGGCCTTGGCGTAGGTGGTGCAGTCATGACCCACTCTCAGGTCATGTGTGACTCGTACAGCTGTTCCCCCTGCCCACAGCCTGGGCCCCCTTGCTCCCCGAGGCCTTTCCAGCCACATCCCAACAGTCCCAGAACTGAGCAGCTCCATAGGCAAAAAGCCCAGGGCTAGTCCTCACCTTCCGGGCCAGCCCCAAGGCGATGTAGCATTTCTCTCCAGGGTCCACAATCTCCACCTCGAAGTAGTGGCTGCGGGTGCTCAGTGGGTGCCGCGCCTGGGCCAGCCCCACATCAACGATGCTCTTTCCCTTGCCCAAGTACTCCAGCAGCTGTAGGGTAGAGCCAGGTGGGGGTAGGGGGCAGTCTTCATGCCTACCCTGAAAAATTGGTCCCACAGCTGACTGGGTTCCAGTTTCCTGGGTTTGACAAAACCCCTCTGCTTGAAAAAGGATCTAGAGGTACAATGTGGGCCTCAGTATTCAGGGTAGGAAGAGGCCAGGGATGAAGGTAGCGAAGGTAACAGCCTAGGTAAGGCAAAGCCTAGACCCTCCCTCCCCTTGCTTTTGAGAGAGGAAGGGCAGTGTGTGTGGGGGTGGGAGGCTAAGTCATGGCATCCCTGAATGACCCTGCTGGCTTTCTGTTGAGAAAGGCCTGTCCCAGGGGTCCACACTTAGCAACCCTACAGGACAGAGTAGAACTGCTCCATAGGGTCTCCAAGAATGTCATCTTTATAGAAGCAGATGGCACAGCTTGCTCCTGTGGAGCAGCTGGTGGGTTTGAACTGCATACCTTTCAGTTAGCAGTCAAGTGTGTAACCTGTAATGCAGGAAAGCCTGTAACGCAGCCCGTAACAGGAGCCCATAACGCAGGAAAACATGTACAGACTAGGCTGAAGATGTCTGATGACTTTCCTAGGGAGCATGAATGGGTCCCGGGCGCACTTAGAGGTCTGGTGTGAGCCCCAGATGTTTGGAGTAGGGAAGTGAGCCCTGAAGCCAATTCTGTCTGGGATGTAACCAACAAATTTCTCAAGGTCTTTGTTCTATTTGGCTTTCAACAGAACTGTTCACAGCTGAGAAGGGAGGTGCCGAGGGAGCCAAGGAGTGACCAATCCTACTTCATTTAATGTGAGGGAGGGGACAGGTCAAAATGGAAGACAAGAAGTTCTGTGCCCAGCCCCTCATTTCTACTTCAAGCGTGGAGGTGGGGTGTGGGGTGGGAGGCGAGGGGATATGAAGGATGGGTTCTTGGGGCTCTTCAGTCCCACAATGGTTCTGCCTAGGCATGATGGGGCAGCAACGCCCACCCCAATCTGGGAGGATTTATTTATCAGTTGTCATGGAAACAGTGTGGTTATAACTCAACCCCATTCCCACCCTCCCCACCCTCAGTATCACCTGGGACTCCTTAATCCCCTTTTAATTAGCCAAACTGCCCCTCAAGACTTTCTTCTGCCCTCCCATCCCTCCAGCCCTGAAGTGAATACATTCCTTGGGGACCTCCTCCACTTATCCCTGACAAGTCTTAGGATGCTGGCCTCTCACCGCCCAGGATTCCTGCCTGAACAAGAAAGGAGTTGTGTTCACTTGCGCTATTGTGGAAGCCTGCTGGGTCCCCAGAAGGCTGCTCCTGTACCCACCATCCCTCCAGAGAGGGAGGACAAAGGGCCTTGATATCCTACTCAGTCTTCATCCCCAAAGACCTGCCACCTCAAGTCCATCCTCCCCTTCTCTCCAAAGAGAACTAACTGGGGGTAGGAGGGGGGAGATGGGAAAGCCAGACATGTACAAAAGACCACTTAAAACCATACCCAAGCTTTTGTCCCTAATTCCTAATGTTGGGGTCTACCCATCTTTCATATTTGCACCCTAGCCCAAGTCTTTCTTCATTATATTGCACTGCTCACTCTCATCAGAAAGAAATCCTTCACAGGTCTTTTTAAGGCCAAAAGGGAGTCCTGGTGGTGCAGTGCTTAAGCACTTGGCTGCTAACTGACCCCACCAGCTGCTCTGTGGATGAAAAGAACTGGTGATATGCTCCCATAAAAATCTCTATGGGCGTCTACTCTGTCACATGGGACCACTAGGAGTCAGAATCGACTTGATGGCACACAGTAAAAACAATTACAACCCATCCGTCCCTAAGTGCCACAAGCGGCTTGTGTTTCAACTGCTAACCCAAAGTTTGGCTGTTTGGACCCACCCAGCAATGCCATGAAAAGAAGGCCTGGCCATCTGCTTCTGTTAAGCTTTGTTATTGCTGTTGTTGTTAAGTGCTGTTGAGTTGGTTCCAACTCATAGCGACCCTGTATAGGGTTTTCAAGGAGCAGCTGAGTGTGGGTTTGAACCGCCAGCCTTGCAGTTAGCAGTCAGTGCAGTGGGAAAACCCTCTGTAGTAGTTTTAGTCTGCACACACGGTCAGAACAGACTCAATGGCAACCAACAATTACGGCCCCTGCTGTTTCAGCTCTTCATTTATTTTTTCATCCTCGTCCTCTGTGTGGTCTCTGCTCAGTCCGGGGTTTCTCCTCAGCATCTCTCCCCATCAGGCCAGGAGGAGTGTGGTCTGTTGCACATTAACTAGTTTAGACTCCACCCAGTTGGAGCAGCCCCCAGCCCACTTTTCCTCCTTGCATTGCAGAACTGGGTGGGGGACCCCACAGCTGTCCCTGACCCACTCCATCCAACTGGCCTCAGCATAGGAAACACAGTGTTCTACAGTTCCAGAGCCAAAAGCCAGCTGATCCAGCTCCAGATCCTTGGGGAAAACCCGCCCAGCCATTCCCACTGCCTCAGTCTATGGGGTGGGGGTCCGGGGAGTCTCCTGCCGTTTTACATGCAGACAGGGTGGGATGCTTCCTTCAGATTACTGGCCAGCAGGGTGAATGCACTAACATGGGACTCTGAGACGGACTCTTCGTTCCTCCACCCCACAGAGCACTTCAGAGACTGCTAACACCCAGAATGATTATGTGCCCTCGGCCCAGAGAGGAACCACCTCAGGGTGGAAGCACTCAGAACTCATCTGATCCACTCTCCTGCTTCTGAGCCCAGACCTCCCAAGGCCTCGAAGCCAACTCAGAGCACCTGGGGTGGAGGGGAGGCAGGCAGGGTCTCCCTAAGAGACCCTCTTTCAAGTTCACTCCTCCCTGATTCCAGCTGTTAGAAACCCAGAGGCAATGGCAGGCGTGAGCAGATTAGTTAGCCTCTAGAGTCTGGGTTGCTAGAATCTTGAGGGTGGCCCCTTAATCTGTGCCTCAGATGCTTCTTAGTTCAAAAGAAATGCAAACTGACCTGGGTTCGAATCTCAACTCCTGTTACTTACTAGCCCTAACACTGGGCAAGTTATTTCCCTCTGTTTAATGGATGGGCACAAGAGCCACAACAATGGGAACATATCAATGATCATGAAGGCACTGCAGGGCCGGGCAATAGGTCATTTTATTTTATATAAAGGTTCCAGAAAACGAAGCCAACTCAGTAACAACAAGTCTGATTCCTCATCAGTCAAAGAGAATAACAGTACCTGCCTCGCCAAAACCACATGTGAAAACGGAGCTCAGCACCCAGTAGTTAACAAATACACATTTCTGCCTCTCCCTAACCAGGATCTGGAGTTACACTAGAGAGAGCTGTCACGGTTAACTCCCGACTCATAGCGACCCTGTAAGACAGTGCTGAGCTGCCCCCCTAGGCTTTCAGGGGCTGTGATCTTTATGGAAGCAGGTCGCCAGGTCTTTTCTCCCAGGGAGCAACTGGCAGGTTCTAACCATAAACCTTTGAGTTAGCCGCTGAGTGTTACCCATTGTGTCACCAGGGTTCCACGACGACATATTATTGATGTCAAGTGTCATCGAATCAGTGCCAACTCACAGTGACCCTGTGTAGGGTTTCTGAGGCTGTAAATCTTTGCAGGAGTAGAAAACCTCATCTTTCTCACGTAGAACGGCTGGTGGGCTCAAACTGCTCACCTTGTGAATTGCAGCCCAGTGCTTACCCTACAGAGCCACTGCTCTCCCCGACAACATAGTAGTTATTGTTAAGTGCTGTTAAGTAGGTTCCAATTCATAGTGACCCTGTGTAAGATTTCCGAGGAGCAGCTAGTGAGTTTGAACCACCAACCTTGTACATATATAGTGTTGCTGTTGTTGTTGAGTGCCTTCGAGTTGGTTCCGACTCATAGAGACCTGTACGGGGTTTCCAAGGAGCGACTAGTGGGTTTGAAATGTTGACCTTGCAGTTCAAGCCAACCTTGTGATCAAGTGCTTTCCCAATAGTACCACACCAGGACTCCTTGTATATGCTGGTGGTGGTTGTGTGCTGTGGAGTCGGTTCTGACTCATAGTGATCCTTTATAGGGTTTCCAAGGCTGTAAATCTTTAAGAGAGCAGAAAGCCTCATCTTTCTACCACAGAGCAGCTGGTGGGTTTGAACTACTGACCTTGTGGTTAGCAGTCCAATTCGTAACCCACTAAAATACCAGAGTTAACCGTCACCCTAGAGCTGGATTGACCAGAACCACCAAGCACAAAGAAAGAAAAGATCCTTTATATTGACCAATAAGAGTGCGTCCTTGGGTCATTGTTTTTCTACAATAGATGACCAGTCAACAGGCTACTTTATCACAAATGGCCAGTATCTTTCCCCAGTCTATCAACAGGAGTGTTCCTCCATATAACTGGGGTATAAGATACTCTCACCTTGGGACACCAGAACCTCCTCAAGAGCTCTCAAATCCTCCTCCCTCCCCTCCTTCGTTTCCCTTACAGGACAGACGGACTTGATGCTGCAGACTAGAAGGCTGTGAGCCCCTGGTGTAAGGACCAAACTGACTTTACCTGATTTTGCCTACCTAGAGACTGCTTGACTAAACTCTAGTCAGGCTCAGGAAAGCATTTTAAATAGACAAGGCCTCAGTTTTTAGTTCCCTCCAGAGACAAGGTCAATCTCCATTCTGTACATTAGCCTGAACACGTCCTCTAGCTCCAAGAAAATGATATATGTATAAATAGCCAGGCAGCTCAAGGCCAGAGGCCAGATGTTTTCCTTTACCCTAGCCTAAGAACAAAGACCACCAGTCCTGACCAATTAAACTGTAACATCTCATATTTTGCCAATTGTTAACCAATCCAAAGATTGTAAAGCTGAGAAACCTGAGCTGTTTGAAAACTCTATAAAAACCCTGCAGACAATGAATTCGGGGCTCTTTCCCTATTCCGAAGTTTCGGATAAGGTTAGAGACCTGGCTCGAGCTTGAATAAACAACCCTTATGTATTTTCATCGGTACACAGCTCCTGGGTGGTCTTTGGGGACCCCGAATTCTGGGCATAACACTGGCATCCCAAGCCCTCCCTCAAACCAGCAGGGCCTTCTCAGTTTCTTCTCCCCTGTTGGTACCTGCCCTCCACCCCTTGCCAGCAGAGACCCTAATCCCTCTTGACAGAAGCACGGGAGGGCTCAGTGCCCGAGGGCCATGCAGCAGCTGAAACAGGAGCTATGAACATGCTTCCCACCGGCCAGCTCAGGCCCCAACACGGTGTTTCCTCCTGGGTTGGGTCTGGGGAGGACTCCTGGGAGGGTGAGGCCTCAATCACTCCCTTTGTATCCCAAAGCTGTTACCTGTCACTAAGGAGTTGTCAAAAGAGCTATGAGCAGGAAACAAAGAGACAGAATGAGTCTAATCCCCCAGCTTTACCTACTGCCCCCCACCCTCCACACATTACCTCATTTAGCATGGCCGAGGGGCAGGGATGAGGTAGAGGGATTGTCGCACAGCAAATGCAGCTGGCAATTCTTCAATTCCCATAGCACTCTGGGGAGGTGGGAGGGACTCTTTGGGAGGGGAAACTGAGGCCACAAGAGGCAGAAGAGCTGTGTATGTCTATAAAGAGATGTGGCACTATGGGCTAATGCGTCAGACTGCAAAGTCGTTTGAACTGCAAGGTCGGTGGTTCAAGCTCACCAGCTGCTCCTTGGAAACTCTACACAGGGTCTCTATGAGTCAGAATGGACTCGACGACACTTGACAACAACAGTTAAAACAGACTTACAGCTCAAATGAAAGACTATAGCCTTCAATATGGATCACACCGCAACATAAAATTAAAATCCTTACAACTGAGTCAACAAGCAACATCATGATAAATTGAGACACAATTAAAGTTGTTAAAGATTTCATTTTACTTGGATCCACAATCAATGCTCACAGAAGCAGCAATCAAACAAATCACTGCACTGGGCAAATCTGCTAAAATAGATTTTAATGTGTTAAGGAGCAAACATGTCACTTTAAGGACTTAGGTGTGCCTGGCCCAAGCTTCATATGTGTGGTAAAGCTGGACAATGGATAAGGAAGACCAAAGAACTGATGTCTTTGAATTACAGTATTGGGGAAGAATAATGACTATACAAAGGGACTGCCAGGAGAACAAACAAACCTTTCTTAGAAGTACTACCAGAATGTTCCTTAGAAACCAAGTTGGTAAGACTTCATCTTTATGTACTTTGGACATGTTGTTAGAAGGGACCAGTCCCTGGAAAAGGACATCATGCAGGACAAATCAGAGGATCAGTAAAGGAGAGGAAGATCCTCAAAGAGATGGATTGGCACAGTGGCAGCAACAATGGGCTCAAACACAACAACTGTGTGGATGGCACAGGACCAGGCAGTGTTTCATTTTGTTGTACACAGGGTCACTATGAGCTGGAATGGACTCAACGTCACTTAATGCCAACAGATACAACAAACATCACTATTAACAACTGTGGAACCTAGGTAGTATCTAGATGAATCTTCATTATACTACTTTTTTTAATTTTTCTGTATGTTTGAAAATTTTCAAAATGAAATGCTGAAGAGAGAGAAAAAAAGGAACCAGGAATTGAGTTCTCTCTTCTTTTTGGGAAAAACTAGGTAGAAGGGATAACTGACCCCAAACTGAGAGAAAGGGCTGAGAGTAATAGAATTCTGAGGCAGCCAAATAAACTCAGCTAGAAGGGCCTTGGCTAAAGGAGCCAGACAGGAGACTCCTAGAGGAAGTGGGGATTTCAACCCAGGAGTTCTAGATTCATTCTAATCAGGAAGAGAGCAGGAGGAGAGGAGGTGATGGGTTACACACGAGCAGGCTTGGGCAGAGTGTAATAACATGTATTAGATAGTGGAAAAGGCAGCATGGGGTCAGGACCAAAGAAAGTATTTTGGGTTGTCCCATTGACTAGGGGAAAGGATTTACTATAATTTTGGATCTGGGTACCAAGACTACTAATTTTCTATACATCAAAGACTCGTCCCACCTAAAATGTCAACAGTCTCCCCACTAAGAAACCTCAGTCTAGATGACATCTCCCAAATTCCTATGGCTCTAAAGGACATTCTACTGAGAACCAATTACTCCCATTATCCAGGGCAGGAGAAACAAAAACAGGGGTCTAGGGTCCTGATGTGATGGCTGTTAGGATAACCAATGGACTGTAAGTTGGTCTGAACAAACTCACCAGCCACTCCCTGGAGACCCTATACAGGTGACTCAGCAGCATTTAACAAAAATGGCCCCAAGAAAGGGCTCCCCAGCAGGGGAGATGTAAACGGCAGGGATGGACTAATAGGAAAAGCAGTTGTGCTAGAGGTCTTCCAAAACAAAAGGCCAGGGCATTCCCCAAATGATTTCTCCCAGACTCCTCAAGGCTAACGCAGCTATAATCACTGGGTCAGAAATACAGTGGATGGTAAAGGGCAGGAAGGAGGAGGCCAGAAGATAGGGGGATGGGGACCCACTGGATGGAAGAAACTGCTTTGAAAGATGGAATGACTGACAAAACCAGAGAGGCACATGTCCCTCAAGAGACTCGTGTCCAAGTCTACCCAGAAGAGCAAGTGCCCAGGGAGCAGTGTCTCCACTCTGCCAGCTAACCAAGGCAGAGAGTAGGGGCCTGAGACAAAAGTCAAACACGACAGCTCTATCTGAGAAAAAAAATAAAGTTCTTAAATAAGTGGCCTAAAGACGTTGGAGGAAGAGCAGGGAGGAAGGAAGGCTATTTATACATGGCTACAGGATTCTGCATCAATTAGGAAAGAGTGCCTGGAAGGAGCTGAGAACAGAGTGGGGACAGGTCCAGGCAGGGAAAGGATGCCAGGAAAAAACTCTTTACAAGAGGTCAGGGATGAGAGCTGGAACATGGCCCTGGCTCAGTCCCAAGTTCAACTCTATCGATGTTGTCCAAATGATGGTGGCAGGAGAAAAGAAAGAAATGAGATGAGGGTCGAGGAGTGGGCATCCAAGGCCTCCTGGCTCATGGACACCATAGCCCTTGGATCCTCGTGCTAGAAGGGGGTACAGGATGTCTGAAGCAACAGGAGGGCACGCTTTCTACTACTTTTCCTGAGTTTAAGTCACCTTAAACTCCAGAAGGGGGGCCTTACTCAGAACCCACCCCTACCTCCCACTGCTTCTGTTTTGCTATCAAAGGCTGACTTGAAAACAGCTTGGGTTGGGGTGAGAAGGCCAGATGGTGGAGAAAAAAGCCACCCACTTGGGAGGCCAGGAGCAAGGGGGTAACAGAGGGACAATTCGAAGTAGGGGGCCTGAGCAGCTCACTAGAGGTCAGGGTCAGACCCCTGACTCAGCATCCAGTCACTCCCAACCCAGAAGAGGTTCTGAGGGTACGTATGAAGAAATTCCCTCTCAAGGCCCATGAGTTTCCCAAGAATGTCCAAGATCTAGGGAAAGAGTAAAGCAGATATACTGAGAAGACGTAAGAGAGCCTTAGATGGTCAGGGCTTCTCGCTGAGTCCTTGTCTGCCTATGTTTTCATCCTCTATAAAATGGAGGGGAAGGTAGAAGAGATTGGATTGAAGGCTTTTTCCCAAAAGAGCTCAGAGAAGCTTCCCACACATGTGCAGGGTTGTGACCTGGCCCACAGCATTGTGCAGGGATCAAGCCAAAAGGCAATGCAGGCCTCCTGCCTCCAAATCAGCTCCCAGCCCCTCAAAGGTTGGTGTGCAGGGCAGTAGAGGGCACCAAGTGCTGAAGGAACCAAAAACTGCAAGAAGAATTGCTGTTCTCAGCTGCAGGGGAAGGGGGAAAGGGCACCAGCATTCAAGAGAACACAGACCTCACTCATGTCTACATCCCAGCCTATCCTGGCCATTTCCCAAAACCCCACCAATGACACAGCTGCCACTTTTCATTCTAACTCATCAGACATGCTTATGAGGCTCCCAGGGGCTGTAGCCAGCCCTTCCGGGCAAGTCCCCTACTACCCCGCTGCCCTTACTTACAGTCCCGCAGACTCTGACGTCATGCAGCCGGCCCCACTCGTCTTCATAACTGTCCACCATCATGACACTGTCATCTTCGCGGCCCAGCTCTGCATTGAGGTGCAGTCGCACCTCCTCACCCAAGGAATGCATGCCCACTGCGGGGAACAGCCCATCCGGGGACATGGGCATGATGGTGGAGCCCACCTGCAGTAGAGGGAAGGATGGAGGGAACTCATTTTCCAAACCTTATCTAATTCTCACAGGGGTACCTTTGAGATGATGCCACAAGTAACTATCATCCACACTGACATGTTTAAATAAGAAAAAAAAAAATTTTTAAAGCAGAGGTGTAGGAAACTTTACAAGTTTGCTGAGTACTCCTGGTCGAGCAAGGTATGCACACAGCTAGAAGGCAGACACAAGTCTCTTGACTTGCTGCCAAATACTCTGAGTAGGTGTGAGTGTGTGTGCTGGAGCAGAGAAGTGCTGAGGCATGGATGCTAAGAGAGCAGGACCTAACTCTGTTCCCACCATTTCTAGTCATTCTCTGGCCATCTTTGCTCCCCACACGTCTATCAACTGGGCAATGTTCCAGCTTCCCAGGGAGAAGGGGCAGTGTCTTCTGCACATAAGGAACTTCTGGACTAAAGGAGATAGGGAACCATGGGACCCTAGGTAAGCTCCAGCCCACAAATCCTTGGACAGCTTCAGCCTTTTTAATTCCCACCCACTATTCCCCACTTACCCGCTTCCCATTTTTGGTGAAGAAAATCTGAGCAGTCTGCACATCAAAGGACACAGGCTCAATGCCACAGCCAATGCGGTCCCCGGAATTACACTTTGACCCAAACTGACGGCCCTTGGCTCGACCATTGTACAACCTGTAGGCAAAGCAGCACAGATACAGGGCCCAAGCGCGGGCTTCCTAACTGCTTCCAGGCACTGACAGCTTCTTGCTGCTCCTAATCAGCCCAGGATGGTATCTACCAATATCCTGCCTATGAGCTTCACCCTCCCATCTAAGTCTGCAAACCTCCAGGCCACTTCCCTGTCCTGATCAAATATGTTTAAACAAGCCAAGACAAGTGAAGAAATGGGAAACGCCATTGTTCATGGCTAAGATTCTCAAATCCATAGGAAAGAAGTTGGGTTCCACAAGAAGGCAACTCACTTGCCATCATCAGCGTGGTAGGCTACAGAGTCAGGCAACCAGCCCGGCTGGTGATCCAAGCTGTAGTACTGAGGGACCAGCCCCACAGCAATGGTGCCCCGAACCCCACTGTCCACAATAGACACCTAGAGCAAAGAGAGAGGGCACAGTTAGCAAGGATGGAATGAATAGAAAGGGGATGAACTGCCTCTGGCAGGGAGAGGAGTTAAGAGATCAGAGGGGGCTGAAGCTCAAAGAGACAAACATGGGGGGAGTTCCATGGGAATCAGCGAAAATTCAGGGGAAGAACTAGGGAAAGCAGGGGCTGACCTTCCCATAATTACTTACAAAGTTATTTCCAAACTGGTGGGAAAAGAAAGGAGAGTAAATGCTGGCCTTGGGTTAGGGGGAGGATATGGTTCAAGGTCAGGGATATGGGTCAAAATCTACCCAGACAAGGGGCAGGAGAGCGGAAGAGACAAGGTGACAGGGCTCCAGCCCCTGGCTCTCAGATCAGGGCCATGCCTTCTCCCAGCCCCAGGACAGCCCTGATGGGAAATTAAACAAGGTTATTAATCTGGTAAAGAAACTCCCTGGAGCTTAACAATTTCACCTTCTGTTCTACCCACCCACTGCCTTGATCACCTCAAAATAATTGCTGTCCTTGGTCAAGGGTCGAGAAGCCACATAACAGCCAACTTCCCCAGAGTTTCCATGGTAACTGAAAGAAGAAGGGGGAGGAGTTTCATTAGCAGCCTAGCCCAGGACCTAGGGGAAGGCCCTCACTATCCCCAATCCCCACTCTGTGATCAACAGGACAGAGGAGAATCCAGCAGGCCATACTTCAGCACAGATAGCATAACAAGATACTTCAAATCTCACCCGACCCCTCCCAATGCCTCTAACCAGGGTCCAACCTACAACAGAGCAAGCCTGGCTTCTTCTTCAGATCCAGGGAGAAAAGAATGTAGACTTTCCCATAGATGACTATTAGGGGTCTCAACCCTGCCAAACCTCAATCCCCTGTACTGCAGTTTCAGCCCTTTTCTTCTAGCTTTGCCTCAAAGCCACCACATGTCTATCAGTTTGTCACACTGTGCTGGCTTTGTGTTGCTGTGATGCTGGAAGCTATGCCACCAATATTTTAAATATCAGCAGGCTCACCTATGGTGGACAGGTCTCAGTGGAGCTTACAAACTAAGACAGACTAGGAAGAAGGGAAGGTGGACCACTTCTGAGGTGTTAGACACATATGAACAGCAACAAAAAAAACACTGTCCGTTAAAGTGCTGGAAGATGAGCTCCACAGGTTGGCAGGTGTTCAAAATATGACTGGGGAAGAGCTGCCTCTTCAATGTAGAGTTGTTGACCTTAATAACATAGATATTAATGGATATAGTTAAGCTCTCGAGATCTTCATTTGCTGATGGAGTACAACTCAAAGTGAGAAGAAATAGCTGGAAACATCCATTAATAATTAGAACATGGAATGTACAAGGTATGAATCTAGGAAACTTGGAAGTTGTCAAAAATGAAATGGAATGCATAAAGATCAATATCCTAGGCATTAGTAAATTGAAATGGACTGGTATTGATTGGCCTTTTGAATTAGACAATCATATGGCTTACTATGCCGGAAACACCACATTGAAGAAGAATGGAGTCAAATTCATTGTCAAAAAAAATATCTTGAAGTACAATGTTGTTTGTGATAGGATAATATCCGTACACCTACAAAGACCAGTTAATACCACTGTTATTCAAATATACACACCAACCACTAAAGCCAGTGATGATGAAATTGAAGAATTCTACCAACTTCTTCAGCCTGAAATCGATCAAACAAGTAATCAAGACGCATTGATAATTACTGGTGATTGGAATGCAAAAGTTGGAAATAAAGAGTTGGAAAACATGGCTTGGAGATAGAAAAATATGGTTGGAAATCACATGATAGAATTTTGCAATACCATGACTTATTCATTGCAAATACTTTGTCTTTTTCAACAACATAAAAGGCAACTATACACCTGGACCTCACCAGCTGGTATACACAACAATCAAATTGACTAAATCTGTAGGAAGAGACAATGGAGAAGTTCAAGATCATCAGCCAAAACATGGCCAGGGATGACTGTGGAACAGACCATCAATTGCTCATATGCAAGTTCAGTTTGAAGCTGAAGAAAACGAAAACAATTAGAACACAGCCAAACTATGATCTTAAATACATTCCATCTGAATTAGAGACCATTTTAAAAACAGAGTTGCTGCAATAGACACAGATACATTAAGACACAGAAAACAAAATAATGAGACCAGAAGAGTTGTGGGATAACATCAAGATCCATATGAAAAAAATAAAAGGTCATTACAAAGACAGGAAAAAGAAAAGACCAAAGTGGATGTCAGAAGAGACTTTAAAACTTGCTCTTAAGCATAGAGAAGCTGAAGCAACTGAAAGAAATAATGAAGCTTTTCAAGAGCTGAACAGAAAATTTCAAAGGGCAGCTCGGGAAAACAAAGTCAAATATTATAATAAAATGTGCAATGAACTGGATTTAGAAAACGAAAAGTGAAAAACATGTTCAACATTTCTCAAGCTGAAAGAACTGAAGAAAAAAATTCAGGCACTGATTTGCAATATTGAAGGATTCTATACGCAAAATTCAATTTTTATTCCATCTATTCCTGGTGCTTTGTTCTTTGCCAATTCCTTCAATGCACTTTGCACTTCTTCCTTCAGTATCATTGGCTCTTGGTTATATGCTACCTCTTGAAACGGTTGAACATCAACCATTTCCTTTTGGTACAATGACTCTATGTTTTCCTTCCTTCTTCTTTTGATGCTTTCTTACCCAGAGAATTCAATAATTTGCCCAGAGAATCCTTCAATAACGAAAGTCAAGGCTTGAATTTTTCCTTCAGTTCCCCCAGCTTGAGAAA